GTGGGTTTCCTTGTGCCCGGACCCTCACTGCTTCCTGACCCTGGGTGCTCCAAAGTGGGCTGGGGTGATTGTTACAGGCTGGTAGCTTCCCTGTTGTCCTGCCCAGGCCTCCCTGACATGTACCAGAGCCCACCCCATGCTCCCAGCAGCCCTCCGTGGGGTGGGAGAGGCCACGGGGGGGTGGTGCAGCAGTGTGGCTGTGTTCCCCCCCCCCGGAGGCCCCTCCTTACCTGGAAGGAGAAAGGGACCCAGCAGGTCTGTCAATGGGGGCTGTGGGCCTAGGCTCCCTGTGGGTCTCGGGGGTCGCCCTGTGAACCCACAGAGCTTCTCTAGGGAGAGATGGGTCTGTGGCCTTGGATAGGTCCTCAAAGGGGCCCGTAACCAGAGAGAGGACAGAAATGTGCCCTGCACACTCGCATGCACGCACGGGAAGCAGATAAAAGTGGGCTATATAAAAAAAAAATCATTTAAAAAATAAAAGCTCCCCCCCGCCCCCGCAGGCCCCATCTTCCAGAATCTGTTGTAACAGATTCGCCCAAGCTGGTTAACGGTATTTGCGGTTTGCAAGATGCTACACGTCCCTGGAAAATGACAGACAACTTATTATCACCTCCCCACTCTCCTCCTGTCCAAACCTGCCCGTACCGGGCGCCCAGCTGCTGGGGAGCGGGTGCGAGGAAATTAACAGCCACAGAGCCGAGGCGCCTGCCACCCACCACCCCCGCCCAGCCCTGCCAGGCCCTGGGCTCCCAGCCAGACCCGGCCCATCGCGGACTGTGATGGGGGGAGGGAGGGGGAGGGTCCGAGTGGGGGAGGGGAGGGATGGGCATACACCAGCATTTGGGCAAACCGTTTCCTGCAAGCGCGGAGGAATACACGCATCCCGGAGCAGGCAAGTCCAGACGGCTCTGTGTCAACAGCCGAAGATAAATAAGATTTTATCAGCTCAGAATCTGTTGAAACACATCCATCTAGCGGTTCTAGGAAAGGAGAGGAAAGAGGGAGGGAGGGAAAGGAAGCGTCTGCGAGTGACCTTTTCTATAGAAGAGATGGGACCCAGGAGTCTTCCTCCCCACCTGCCCAGGGCCTGGGGCCCAGGAGCTACGGGAGGAGGGACGGAGCTGGTGGAGCTGTAGGGGCTCATGCCCCCGCTCCTGCCCGTGTAGCCCAGCCAGATGCTCCAGGTATAGGCAGACCTCAGGCAGACCTCAGGCATCCCTCAGCCGCGATGCTCAACCCCGACCGCCCCAACGGTCGGGCTTCTGTGGGCTCAACCCCTTGCAGGGATGGGCCTGGCCGGTGCACTCGCCCAAGGCCACATTAGCAGCCAGCTGGGGGTGGACCTGGGCTGGGGACACCCCTGTGGGGAGCGGGGTCAGGCCCAAGGCTGGGGGTGGCCTTGCCAGGGACGCAGAGGGAGGAAGCCGCGCGCACTCTCCTCGCCCACCCCAGGCGGCCCCGCGCTCACCGCCCAGCCCGCTCCCGGGTCGGTACCGCGGACAGCTCCCTGGGGCTCCTCCCCGGGGCGGGGCGTCCCCATCGCGCCCCCCGCCCGCCCGCCGCCCGCGCCACCGCGGGTTCCGCCGTTCCCCCCACTCTTTCCCCCGCCCCCGGACCTCGGGCCCGACTCCTGACACGAAGAGCACCCCTGGGGTGCCCCCGCCCCGCTGGGCTGCAGGACCTCGAGAGAGGGGCTCGGAGCCCCGGGCTGCGCCTGGAGTCCTGCTCCATCCCTGCTGGCTGGTGAGCCAAGGCGCCTGGCCCTTGCGGAGGGTGGTGGGGAGGCTACAGACCCCATCTCGGGCGGCGGAAGGAGCAGGAAGTCGAGTGACTAACTGATGGGAGCCGCTGGGTGGTCGCTCTGGGGAGGGGACTGCAGGGCCTTCACGCCCCTGGGGGCACTCTCCGCCTGCTCACAGAGGGGCCAGGAACCATCTCACGTGGGAATGACCACGGTACACTAATAAGTCCACTGCGAAAACGGTCCAAGGGTATTAAGTGTAGTCAGTTACTGCGCCCCTCCCCCGCCAAGCCTCGGAGAGGTTTGTCCAGTGGTTTACAGCCTCCCAGGGGCCAAGGACCAGAGCCAGATCTCAAAGGCCATTCTCCCACTGCTCACCCGTGACTATGACCTGCCCCTCCCACGCCAGGCCTGTTTCTCAGCGTGTCTGCCCACCGCCACCCTCACTTAGGGACGAATCAGGCCACCTCTCAGCCCCAGGTCACCTCACTCACTGGACACCTCTGTGGGCCCTCCTGGGGTCCCCGCTGACCGTGCAGGGGACAGGGATGCCCTCTGGAATGTACCAGCTGCCGCAGAAGGGCCCGGTCCCACTGGTCACCAGCTGAGGCCGGCCAGTACCAGGGCTGCGTGGCTTTTAGGTGTGAGCCTCCAGTAAGTCTAGATTCTTCTGTGGCTTGAAGGGGCTCTCAGCCCAGTTTCCAGTGAGTCTAGGGCATGGCAGACAGTAGGCACTCAACAAACGCTTGCTGGCTTCACCGTGTCATTAGTTGTGTTTGGGCCCCTGCAGTCCAGCCAAGGCTCATGGTTCCCTGTGGGGGCCTCCTCCACCAGGGAGACCCCCTGGGTGACTGCTCATGTGCTGAGCCTCTCGGTGTGCCTCCAGGATGCTTGCCAGGCAGTTCCCTGCCGGACACTCTACCAGCACATTGTCTGAGGGTCAGGGACCAGTTCTGAAGCCTCACTTGTGGGCAGACCAGAGAGCTGGGTGCTGAACTGGCTGGCGCCTGGTGTTTGCTCTGGGCTGGGCTACAGCTGTTCTGGGCACAGTCCTTGGGGTAGGGTGCCCAGCTTATCCCCCACACTGCTGCTTTGGAGAGTGAAGTGGCAGCATTTATACTGATGGGGACAGCAGAGGTCAGCGGTCACCCCCTGGGAAGCAGGACTGACCCCCACAACAAGAAGCAGGGAGCCCCCCAGTCCCCTTGTGGCCCCAAGCCTGCCCTTAGGCAGCCCCGTTTTCTGCTTTTCCCAGCAGTGCCTCACCCCCACCCTCAGGGCTGTGCGGGATCATTCTTTCCTGCATTTTATTTTATTTTATTTTTTTTAATATTATTTATTTATTTATTTGACAGATAGAGAGCACAGGTAGGCAGAGGGGCAGGCAGAGGGAAAGGGAGAAGCAGGCTCTCTGCTGAGCAGGGAGACTGATGCGGGGCTTGATCCCAGGACACTGGGATCATGACCTGAGCCGAAGGCAGTCACTCAACTGACTGAGCCACCCAGGCGCCCCTCTTTCCTGCATTTTAAACAGGTCTGGGGACTCTGCTTCCCCCCTCCCCAGAGGTGAGGGTCCCAGGTATGGGGTGGCAGGCTGCACTGGGCTCTGGGGACCCCGGTGAGTGGAGCACCTGTGAAGGGGTGAGCCCCAGGGGCATTCATTTCCTGTCTGTGATGGGGGTGGGAAGGGTGTGTACTGAATTCTGCGCCACGGGAAAGTTGAACAGGGTCCAACACCCCGAGGACACCACTAGGGAGACCCCAGCCCACTTGTCCCCCAAGCCTCCTTGGATTCCACTCTGGGGATGGGTGAGTGTTTCCGGGACGGAGCCCCTGCCAGCTCATCAGGGGAGGGATGGCTCATACTGTGGGATCAAGGGCTTTGAGGGCCCTGGGGACCCCTCGTTCTCAGGCTGTGGGTCAGCCCCATCTCTGTGTTTGCCACCCCTTGGTTTTTGTATACTTGCAGTTGCTGAAGGTATGAGTCCCTGAGGGTCCATGGTGTCCCTTGATGGCCAGAGAGGGAGCTCTGGTGGCTGGTGGGGGCTTTACCTTTGCAGGATGAGGGTGTCAGGGCCCCCCAGCCTCCTTGGCAAAAGTGGGCTGAGACCAGCTCTGGCTCTGCTGGCCGCTCTGGCATACAGCCTCAGGTGCCCTGACTATACCATGGTGGGTACAGTTCCCGCTGTGAGCCTAAGCCCCAGTCTGTGCTCCCCAGTCTGCTGAGATGCACCATGTGGCGGGGGCCAGACCCCAGCTGGACACCTGTCTAGCGGTGTCCCTGGTTCAGTATGGTTTCCCTGGTTGTACCGCAGTGGGGTGTGATGGGGATCCCTCCAGGCTTTGTGGCTGGGATAACTCCAGGTCACTGGGGCTTTGTGGGGGGCATAGGGTTTATGGGGCGGGGACAGGAAGTGTCCTGTGAGTCTGAGGACAGGAACACTGCCCACTGTGCCTCAGGGAAGGAGACATGAGGAGCACGGATGGGTCCCCAGAAGCCAGTCAACTTGAAACCAGTGGGCACCCCTGTGGCCACCATCAGGGTCACCTTTGAACTCAGAGCTGGCCAGGGTCCTTAGGTGGGTGACGGGGTCCCCTGGGCGCTGATCCTCCCTGGGACAGGGTCCCAGGCTGAAGGGACCAGAGCTTTGAGGTCAGAGGGCCCCCCAAGCCAGTGGTCCATACCAAGCTGCAGACCTCAACCCCTCAGACTTGCTGTTCTAGGGAGTTCCTTCCTGAAGCTTCGGTGCATAGGGGTACCCAGCCTGTCTCACAATTACACATTTCTCATCAAAATACCAGAAAAGCCTAACTCTGGGTTTTTAAAAACTGAGATACAATGCTGCAAATCCCCTGCTTCCAACCACTGCGGGTCCTGGGACTGAAGGTCGATGGTGGGAAGAGCTGGGCTTGGCAGGGCAGACGTGGCTCCCAGCCCCGCTCTCCAGCAGCAACTCGCTTCTCCGGCCTTTACTGTCCTCGCCCATAAGATGGACGTAACGTGCTAACCTCTCCAGCCAGGGAGATCCAGAGAGCCCAACTGCTCTCCCTGCGCCCAAACCGGCCAGGTGCTGCCATGTGCGTGGCGGGGGCGGGGGCAGAGGGGGCCCCTGGAAGGACGGCTGGAGGCATCCAGCGAAGGGGCAGGGGCGAGCAGGTGCTCGGAGAGCTGGGGGCGGGATTCCTGACGGGTGGGGCGTGGCCGCACCAGGGTGCTGAGTCGGGGCTGGGCCTGAGCCCTGTCCCCCCCCCGGACCAGTACTCCCCACTGCTGAAGAAGCTTTACTGCCAAATTGCCAAGACCTGCCCCATCCAGATCAAGGTGTCCACCCCGCCGCCCCCGGGCACCATCGTCCGCGCCATGCCGGTCTACAAGAAGGCAGAGCACGTGACTGAGGTCGTGAAGCGCTGCCCCAACCATGAGCTCGGGCGGGACTTCAACGAAGGTGAGGCCTCCAGCCCCCGTGCCCAGCGGCCAGTGCACCCTGGGAAGGGGAGGGCTGGCCTTGGGCCTCCTGGCTGGGGGGCGGCAGTGGCTGGTGGTGTGGGCTCGGCGTCTCCCCTCCCCAGCCCCCTTCCATCCCAGTGGCACCTGGGGCCTCGGGGGAGGGTGCGCACGGGACCACAGGCTGCTGCCTGAGTCCCCCCACCATGGTCCCCAGCTGGCTGCGACAGGGGTGGCCAGACCCCAGCTGGGCAGCCCTCTGAAGCGGTGTCCCCTCCCGGCAGGACAGTCTGCTCCGGCCAGCCACCTCATCCGCGTGGAGGGCAACAATCTCTCGCAGTATGTGGACGACCCCGTCACGGGCAGGCAGAGTGTCATGGTTCCCTACGAGCCCCCGCAGGTAGGTGGGGGGGAGCCCTCAGGTCACCTCGGCCAGCCCTGCTGGCCCCAGCATCTCCAGTCCTGCCACGGAGCAAACTCCTCACCCTCACCCGCCCACCCCCCGGCACCTGGCACCCACTTGTGACCGCTTGTGTGCAGGTCTAGGTGGGACCCCCTCGGGCCCTCTCCAGCTGTGGGAGAGAGGCCGGTAGGGTGCACGCAGGGTCTGGAGGTGAGGGATGGGGCCAGAGTGGGAGGTGGGCGGGGGGGAGAGCCCCCCCCCAGGGCTCTGCTGTGACCCAAAGGCCACAGAAGGTTCTGCTGAGGGCCCAGCTGGAGTGAAAAGCTGGGGGTGGAGTCAAGTGGGGGTGGGGGGCTGAGCGGGGATGGTGGGTTGGCGGTGGGATGGGGGCGGGGGCTGTGCCACCCGCTTGGGCCCTGTGTGCCATGCTTCCCAGGGTGAGTGGGCACAGTGAGCCTCCGCCTTTCCTCTATCTGGGTCTAGCCCCCAGACTGCACTCAAACCCCATCCCTGTACCTGGCCCCGCGGGCCCCCCCCGGCCCCCCCTGCGGGCCCTCCTTCCCCAGCCGAGGCTCACCTGCCAGAGTTGTCCAGGAAAGCAGGGCTCTCCCGCCCCCTGGTGGCTGCCATGTGTCAGCAGTTTTGTGAAAGGCCCGGTTTGCCTACGCCAGCAACCGAGTTTTAGCTCCTGACCCAGGGAGACCATGACAACTGCCCATTTTGTGGTCCTGGGATGCCCAGGGGTCAAAAGTCCTGGGTTCATGCCTCAGCTGTCCACAGACTCCCTGGGAAACGGCACATGAGCTGGAGATGGGGGTCCACTCAGATGGCTCTGGTCCATCCCTCTGCCAGAGCCGTGCACCATTCTGCACAGGAGATCCCACAGCAAGCAGAACACACATTTGTGCCCACAGAAACCTGTGCACCTGCCCGCTGCCCACACCCAGCCTCCAGGGCTTGATCTCTAATCTGTGTTAGGGGAGATGGCGGGAGCAACCAGACCACAGGACTCTGTGCCTCCGAGAGCGAGCATGGTGCATGGCACTCCGTGCACGCATGAATGGATGGATGGACGGGCAGGCGGATGCGTGGATGGTTTGGATGGGGGGACGAGTGCATGCAGGTGAATGGGTTGGATGGATAGAGGTGGATGCATGCAGGTGGATGGATGGATGGATGGATAGAGGTGGATGCATGCAGGTGGATGGATGGATGGATGGATGAGTAGGTGGGTGGGTGGATGGAGGTGGATGGATGGATAGATGGATGGATGGATGGGTGGACAGAAGGTAGATGCATGCAGGTGGATGGATGAATGGCAGAGGACCACAGTGCCGGGGCTGCCTCCACCCCGTGCCTACCCAGAGTCAGGACCCAGCCCAGGAGCCCCCACCTCAGTGGTTTGGGGCCTGCATGCTGACAGCACAGCCATCCCCCTCCCCGTCCTGTGTGCAGGTGGGGACAGAATTCACCACCATCCTGTACAACTTCATGTGCAACAGCAGCTGTGTGGGGGGCATGAACCGGCGGCCCATCCTCATCATCATCACCCTGGAGACCCGGGAGTGAGTCTGCTGGGCGTGTGGGGTGGGGGAGGCTGGACTGGGGGCTTGGGGCCTTGCTGCTGGGGGCTGTGCATGAATCTGGGGCATGGTAAGGGATGGTGCTCGCCCTGGAGGTGAGTTTAAGGAGGGACAACCCCCCACCCCCACCCCGGGCTGCAATGGCTACCTGAGCAGGAGCTGGGCTTTGGGAGGACGGCAGGGGACCTGGTGTCCCAGAGTGGCTGGGAGCTCGGCCTTCACCCCCTGGCTCATCAAGACCCCCCTGTGCGAGGTGGGTGGGGAGGGTGAGCAGGGCTGGCAAGGCTGGAGGTAGGCCCCCGAGGCTCATGGTTCTGGCTGTGCCCCCCCTGGCCCCCCGCCAGTGGACAGGTGCTGGGCCGCCGGTCCTTTGAGGGCCGCATCTGTGCCTGTCCTGGCCGAGACCGCAAAGCTGACGAAGACCACCACCGGGAGCAGCAAGCCCTGAGCGAGAGCGCCGCAAAGCACGGGGCGGCCAGCAAGCGCGGTGAGCGGCCTGGGCCGGGGCGGGCCACGATGGCAGGCAGCGCTGGACCCCTCGGGGCGCGAGCCCATGGCCGCCCTGGCTCCAGCTCCATCCAGCGCGGCCCCGCCCTGGGTCGGCCCCTCTTGAATGGGTTACTGGTCTCTGGGCAGCTCAACACCGGGTGGTGGGCATCCTGCCGGCCTGACCTGCGTGTGGCCTGCCTTCCCTCCAGCCTTCAAACAGAGCCCCGCCGCCGTCCCTGCCCTGAGCACCAACGTGAAGAAGAGGAGGCTCGGAGACGAGGACGTGTACCACCTGCACGTGCGTGTCCTCTGTCCGCAAAGCCCGTGCTGGGGCAGCCGGGGGCAGCCGGGGGCAGGCGGGGAGTGGCCCTGGCGTGCTCCGAGCTGAGACCCTGGGCTCTGCAGGTGGCGGGCGGGGCGCCCAGGAGAAGCAGCTCCCAGGCAGCCAGACTGCAGGGAAGTGACTCTGTGTGCTGCTTCCCGCCACGCAAGAAGTCCCGCTGCGATGGGGGAGGGGGGGTGCAGACCCCTCCAGGGGGACAGTGTGTCAGGGGTCACGGAATCCTGAAGTCTGTGAGCCCAGGTTATATGGCCGGCACGTGGGTCAGATGACTCACCAGCTTTGCTAGGACGGCTCTTCCATTATGTGACCCTGATTCCAGAATAAGTCCGATTCTCAGAGCCTCGTGTTTGGTGGGTGCCCCCGCCCCAGCAGCCTGCGTGTGCAGAGCCCGGGGGATGGGAGGAATGGTGGGCGCTCACCGGGCCCCAGACCTGTTCCTGGGGAAGAGGGGAGAAGCGGGGCGCTCCCTGGCCGCAGGGTCCCAGAGGCGCCTGTGCAGAGGGCCCCCCCGTCTGTGCTCAGGTACGGGGCCGGGAGAACTTTGAGATCCTGATGAAGGTCAAGGAGAGCCTGGAGCTGATGGAGCTGGTACCACAGCAGCTGGTCGACACGTACCGGCAGCAGCAGCAGCTCCTGCAGAGGCCGTGAGTGCGCCCCCCCGCCCCGCCCGGACCCCCACCAGGACAGGCCCCCAGCGCCCCCGCTTGGCGGCCCTCCTCCTGGGAGCCTTCTGTGCATGGCTCCGCCCCCTCCCACGGGGGCCTCCTAAGTGTCCACTGACTGCAAGGCGGCGGGAGGGGGGGGTGAGGGGGGGGATCAGCAGGCGGCCCCGCTGACGGATTCCATCGGTGGGAGCTGGCTCTAGCCTCCCTGCTGGAGGGCAGGCCAGGGGCTGTCTGGCCCAGGTCTGGGTGGGAACGCGGGTGAGAAGGGAGGCCCCCAGCAGGGCGGGGCGTTGTGTGGAAATGACCAGGAGCTGTGGCTGTCCGAGCAGGAACCACCTGCAGCCTGCCTCCTACGGGCCGGTCCTCTCGCCCATGAACAAGGCACACGGGGCCGTCAACAAGCTGCCCTCCGTCAACCAGCTGGTGGGCCAGCCGCCCCCGCACAGCTCAGCGGCCGGGCCCAACCTGGGGCCTATGGGTGAGTGGCCCGGGTCGGGGGGTTGCAGAACGGGCTGGGGAGGCACAGAGGGTAGGTCTGGCTGCAGACACTGCTGCCCAGCTCGGGGCTTTCGATGGCCGCCTCCCACCGGCAGTTTGTGTCCCCGGGCGGAAGGCACAGCCGCGGACAGTCCCCTCTGTCCACTCCCCACCTTGGGGAGGTCTGCACCATGCTAGCTTCCCGGTCGTGCAGAGCGGGGGCCGCCCGACCCGGCTGGCCCCGACAGTCCGGCTTGCTCTCTCCTAGGCCCCGGGATTCTCAACAACCATGGCCACGCCCTGCCGACCAGCGGCGAGATGAATGGCAGCCACGGCGCCCAGTCCATGGTCTCGGGGTCCCACTGCACCCCACCACCCCCCTACCACGCCGACCCCAGCCTGGTCAGGTATGTGGGCTGCTGCTGGGCAGTCGGCACGCTGTCCTGCCCGTCCTCAGGCACGTCCGCTCTGCCACCTCGAGCATGGACAGCAGCAGCGGGGAGGTCAGGAGTGAGCACCCAACAGGTGCTCGGGAGAAAGCACGAAACACGGGGCTTCCTGGAGTGGCCACAGGCGGGCAGGGGTGCCAGGCTGCACAGCTGAGCGCGTGCTTGGAAGTGAGAGCCGCTCCACCCCTGCCTTCTCCCCGCAGTTTCCTGACAGGACTGGGGTGTCCAAACTGCATCGAGTACTTCACGTCCCAGGGCCTACAGAACATTTACCACCTGCAGAACCTGACGATAGAGGTAGGCGCCCTGCCCACAGACCAGAGCCCAGCGCCCTGGCCCAGGGCACAGCCGTCCTCCACTTTTGGGACTCTGTTTCCTGCTCTCACCGGGGAAGGGGGAGGGGGAAAATCTGCAAAAACCCTTCTTCCTGAGACCAAGCCCAACGTCCTCTCTCACGTCTGGCCTCCTACCGAGTCAGCTCTCGAGGCGCGGGCACAGTCGGCTGCACAGACAGTGGCTGAATGGGACCCCCGCCCGGGGCCCCTGGCAGTGGACTGCTCACGTGGACCCAGCAGCCCAGCTGCCTTTGATTGGGGGGACAGGCTGTTCCCAAAGCAGAGAGTTGCCAAGGCCAGAAGGGTCTTGGAGCTGGGGCAGCTCTCCACTTACATGGGGAGAAACTGAGGCCCACAGAAGGCAAGGCACGTCCTGTGTGTCCTGGGTTCAGATCATGCCAGGCCAGAAGCAAATGGCATGGCTCCTCTCTGGGTCAGACAAGATACGAGCAGCGAGTCCCTCCTAAACCATGAAAGACGTCACTTGCTCGCAGCCTAGGGCTACCTTGAGCCATAATGCACGGTTAGCCAAGGGAAGCGCAAGCCTCGAGAGCCCTGAGACGCAGGGGCAGCCCCAGATCCCAGGGGGGGTCCAGCTCAGCGGCCGGGAGCCTCCTGAGCCCCTGCTCCCCAGCCTGGTGCTCAGCTCCCGCCCAGGGCTGCAGGCCTGTTGCAGGCGCGTTGTAGGAGCTGGGGCCAGTCACTGGGATGAACGCCCTCCCCCTCCCCGTCCCCACCGATTCCTGCCAGGCTAGTTCAGTGCATGGTAAGTGCCCCTCACCCACATGAGCCCTGTGCCTGGCATGGAGGGGGAGGGCGCAGGGGCTCGACGATCTGCTCTGGTCCCTACGGGGCCTGCTGTGGAGGGGCTCCACCGGTCACTCTGACGGTGGTCAGGGCCGCAGTCCGCAGAGCCCAGGAATGGCTTCACCCCTACACGCACACGCCCATTCTTGGCTCTCGGTCACGGAAGGCTACGGCCTCATGCATGCAGCATTAGCTGCCCCTGCCCCGGCCCCGGCCACGGCTGGGGGGTGAGGGGGCTTCTGGGCCCGGGCCGGGGTAGGGCCCGCTGACGGTAGCACGCCCGCGGCTCGTGCAGGACCTCGGCGCCCTGAAGATCCCAGACCAGTACCGGATGACCATCTGGAGGGGCCTGCAGGACCTGAAGCAGAGCCATGACTACGGCGCCCAGCAGCTGATCCGCTCCAGCAGCAACACCTCTGCTATCTCCATCGGCAGCTCGGGGGAGCTCCAGCGGCAGCGGGTCATGGAGGCCGTGCATTTCCGTGTGCGCCACACCATCACCATCCCCAACCGCGGAGCTCCGGCTGGGGGCTCGGGGCCTGACGAGTGGGCCGACTTCGGCTTCGACCTCCCGGACTGCAAATCCCGAAAGCAGTCCATCAAAGAGGAGTTTACGGAGAGCGAGATTCACTGAGGGGCCGGGGTTCGCAGGAGAGTGGGCACGGAGGGCACGGTGCAGGGGCAGTGGCGGCGGCCGGGGCCCGGAGTCCCCGGGAAGCCGTGTTTGGTCTCCTCTTGCTTTTTGTCAAAGACTGCCGAGGGAGGCAGGGCCCGCAGGCTGTGCCCAGGGAAAAGGCAAGGTCCACCCTGCAGCGCCTTGGACGGCGGGATTGCTGTGTCCGGGGACTGGAGCTGTGCCCGGGGGGGTGCCCCCGAGGGCCGGCGCCACCCCCCACGGGCCTCGTCCTCCTTAGGGCTCTGCTGCTCCCCAGCGAGGTCCTTCGGAATACAAGGATCGCCTCTGCTGACGGACTGCCGAAAAGTATTTCTCTAAGTCTTTTGGTTCCTGGCAATGAGCGGCCCCGGGATTGTATCTAAAACATGTTTATTTTGGGGTCGATGCTTCAGACCCTGTCTCTGCTCAAGGCTGGGTCCCTCTGCTGGACTTGAGGGTCAGTCTGTCCCTCTCACTTCAAACCACTGCAGCTACCTTCCACTTCCTGCCCAAAGAGGAAAGCCAGAACCTCCCTGGAATTGGAGGGGCCTAGGAAGGAGTGCGTTTGCCACATGTGCGGTCCCTCCTGGGAGGCAAGGAAACTTCTGGTCAGTTGCCACCAGCCAACACCCATGCCAACACCACTGGCCACAGCCGCCTCCGTTCGGTGACCTTCTCGGCACAGACGTGGACAGCGTGCTCGTTAGACTACTGGAAATTGTCAATATTTGATAAAATGATACCCTTTGTACTTGGTGGGTCAGCTTTTATTTTTTGCTTTCATTCTTAACATTCCCTTCAGGGTTCAACCCGTCGGCATTCCTGGCTTCCCAGCGGAGGGCAAGCCAGGCAAGGGTCAGCTTCTCGCTCCCAGATGCTGGACGGGGCCGTGGAGGGGCAGGGCAGGTCCGCCCGCTGTTTGACTGAGAAGTTCTCCACTTGGGACAGCTCCACTCCGTTGGCGACACTGGCAAACTGGGAGCAGGGCAGTGGGTCACCTTTCTCAGGGCTGTGGGGAGAGCCCCTCCCAGGCGGGGGGAGCATTCGGCAGGAAGGTGCACCTGTTGGGGGCTCAGAGGAAGGCCCGGTGCTGGGAGGGCCCTCCTGTCCTCCTAGAGATGGCAGGGGGCAGGGGGCAGGCCTTCATGAGGCACCCCGAGGCATCAGCGGGCTGGGGGCAGGCATGGGGCCATTTTCATTTGCAAGGAACCTCATGAGCCCTTGTGGCCAGCACACTGACAGACTGAGCGCACTGTCCAGGGCAGGACACGGGGCCCCAGAGAAATGCGGGCAATGGGTAACGAGGCAAACCACCTTGTTCCAGGCAGGCGGGATGAAGGGAGGCCGCCGGCCTAATATGTCAGCAGAGACTTGCCCTGCGTGCGGGCATGTGGTGCTTCCCAAGCACAACCTGTTCCCTCGCCGCGCCTGCGGAATGTGTGGGTCCTCTGCCAATGTCCCCACTGAGGCAGGTAAGCCTCCAGGCCACGGGGAAGGTGTAGACACAGCCCTCAGCACCCTTCAGGTTTGTTCTTGTTGCCCTGAGCCCCCCCGGAGAAGCCTTCCTCTCTGGAGAAGGCAGGACGGACTCTTTAGGCCACGTGTTCAGAGGTGTCTGTTCAGAACTCCAGCTCCGTCCCTTTCCACGCTGGACAAAGAGTGGGTGCTAAATACCGGCGTCCTTCTTCCACATCAGCCCTGGGAAGAGGGAGCGGTGCTCCGTGCTGCATGGTGGTTCAGAGACTGGCCAGCGGGGGAAGGAAGCCCCAGCTGGCCTCAGGGCCGTCTCCAGACCAGGACTTCACCTTGGAGAGCCGTGCCATTCTCATCCTCAGTCTACACTGACGTGAAAGCGTCATTTGTGCTGTGAGCGCCGCGTCGGGGATGACGCGGCCACCTCCCCCTCCACCGCGCCCCCAGGAGCTCTGACCCCCAGCCAGGGCTAACCGGGGCAACAGAACCAGCTCGTTCCAATGGGCGGCAGGCTCTGCTCACTAGCCCAGAGGGGCTCCGTGTACACGGGGATCTGCAGTTTCCCCAAGGTATGCGCTGCGCAGAGGCCCGCAGTCACAGGCCACAGACTCAGGGCCACTGGGGGCCATGTGCAGCTGCCCATGCCCCCTCCGTTTTCTGTCACACACCCCCCCCCCACACACACACCTAGCGCAAGGCCAGGGAAAGAAGTACCCTGCTCGTGCCGGTTTACCAATGAGCAAATAGGCGAAGTCCTGCTTCTTGGGCTTCAAGGCTGGGCTAGACTCCGGCACTTGCTCTTGCAGCCACACGCTGGGACACCCCAGTGGTGCCCCCTTGTTCCACCTCAGGCACTGGGACCCATCCCCCAACTCCCACGGACCCGGCCAGATGCGGGCAAGCCCAGGCCCCCGTTTGTCTCCGAGGCACACTCCCGTGGGCCCGAGTCCAGCAGGAAATGCCACAGAGGCCCCCCCAGGTGCCCTGGAAAGGGCTGGTGCAGGGCAGGCAGAGCCCCGAACATCGAGGGGGGAGGGAGGAGGTCGTCCTCCCATGGGGGCCCCAGGCTGCACACGCTGTCCTGGAGCCTTTCTCCCACTGTGCTGGAGGGTGAGGGCCTTTGGGGAGAACAAGCCACAAGAATCAATTGTGTAGAAACTTGGCCCTGCTTAGGAGATCGTGCAAACTGACAGGAGCAACACTCCATAGGTTTGAAACTCTGGTTCTACAGAACTCAAGAATCAAGAACGAATAAACCCTGAAGGTGTGGGTTTTCCAGCGGTGAAGAGGCAGGATGGAATGCTCTGGATGGGAAGCAGCCCAGAGAGTGAGGTGGACCATGTGTCCACACCGACACCAGCCGGCCTGAGCTCAGGCCAGAAAGCGCGCTGCTGGGGGGTTGGGGGGGCCCTGTCCTGCCCCGCACCCTTCACTGCCCCCACAGGCTTGGCTGTGTGCAGAGCTTCGTCAGCAGGGCTGGGCTGCTGGGGAGTGGTCATTTCCACGGCCCAGGCCCCCAGCATGCACGGATCAGGGACAGGTCAGCATCTCCGATGCAGACAGCCAGTTCTCTGTTTCCATAGGGTAAAGCACTTTAACGCTTTAAGGTTAAAAAATATATATATATATCACCCACATTTTTAATGTAATTGATGCGTCTTCAAGCAGTATTAATGGATCTATTCCAATGATATTAACTTTTTCTGGTAATGTAATCTTGGGAAAATGTGTTATTTTTTTAGCTGTGTTTTTGGTGGGAAATTTTGTTTTTTGTAACATAATAAAGCGCACGTTCCGAAGGCTGTCTCTGAGTAACTCAGATAAGGAAGATAACATGTGTGCGCAGGCAGCTCCCGACAGGTGGGGGGACCTACAGCCTCCACGCCAGGCTTGAGCAGCCCCACTGGGCTTCTCCTGTGTTTTCAGCGGAATGAGGCTGTGGGCACTGCAGAGCCACGAGCTCAGGGCTGCCTGGAGTCACAAGAGCAAAAGCTGCCTGATCTCACAGGCCTTACTTTGGCCTCGGCCTCTGGAACCCTCATCCAAGGGGGGGCCCGAGGTCTTGACTTCAGAAAGGTTACACAGGACACGGGTAGACCACGAATACCCTCCCAGCTGCCTGGAGGCGAGCACATTCACGTTTCTCTGGAAAACTTAGAACACAGAAGACAGCAGAGAGCTTACGGCCGCTCAACTCAGGCCGGAGGCCACATGAGCTTCCGTTCTTTCAGTTCTCAGCTTTCTGGATTTCCGGGCTGTGGGACACAGGGTCCGTGCCCCAGCAAAACAGGCCTCTTGAGTCTGTTCAACCTGGAGGGGGGCCCAAGTCATTTAGACATCGGGCTGAAACTAAGCAGAAGAGAAAACACACAAAGGCCAGATGGAGCCATGCCCACACTCTCCGGCACTCACTGAAGCAGGGACAGCTCTGCGGGGACACCACATGCAGACAGGCCAGGAGAGGCCAGGAGGGGTCATGAGGGGCCAGGAGAGGCCAGGCAGGGCCAGGACAGTCCAGGTGGGGCCAAGTGAGGCCAGGAGAAGCCAGGTGGGTCAGGAGGGGTCAGGTGGGGCCAGAAGAGGCCAGGCGGGTCCAGGAGAGGCCAGGCGGGGCCAGGAGGGGTCAGGCGGGGCCAGAAGAGGCCAGGCGGGGCCAGGAGAGGCCAGGCGGGGCCAGGAGGGGTCAGGCGGGGCCAGAAGAGGCCAGGCGGGTCCAGGAGAGGCCAGGCGGGGCCAGGAGGGGTCAGGCGGGGCCAGAAGAGGCCAGGCGGGTCCAGGAGAGGCCAGGAGGGTCCAGGAGAGGCCAGGTGGAGCTGGGTGTACCAGCCGGGGCCCCAGCCACACCTTTCTGGTTGGGCCCATTCATTCACACACTCACCTCTGAGCAAAACCTGCCCATCCCTTTCCCCAGAGTTGTAATCTATCCCTGGCCCACGTGGAGGGCTGAGCAGAACATGCCCTGACCCCATCACTGAGACAGGAATCCCAACCGCAAGCACTCCGACACCTCTGAACTGGATGGGAAACAAGGAAAGGCAGCCTCTGAGGAATGAACACAGTCACACTTACAGCACAAGGGTGTTTTTTGTATCTTTGTTCAGAAACATGTTTTTTTAAGTAGGGTATGAGCAATACAGCCAATTCCTTCAAACATATAAAAACATCTCCCATCTGTTGCACTCTAAGGTCAAAAGATGATTTGGGTTCAAAGCAGATCGGCCACTTTGCAAGGCGCGCTTGTTCTGGGAGCATCCTGGCGACGACCCTGTAGCTGCCAAAAGGAAAAGAGGCCTGGCTGCATGTTCCATGCCCCTCGGGAGGAGAAGGACGTCCGCTCGTCTCCCCGCTGACCTCTGAAGACCAAGTCCGCAGGCCGGCAAGAACGGGCCGACGGGCTAGTGGTGCATCAGGACACCCCGCTGTACCCATAACAGTGCTGTACCCGTGCCTGCCTCCTGCATGGGTTCTTCCAGACAACTGCCTGGTTTCTAAATACCGCTACAGCT